TATTGGGCTTATTGTCTTTAGAGAGTTGGCTTAAATCGCTCTTTCTTTTTCTTTTCTTTTCCGTTTTCACTGCGCGCTTTTCAGTGCGCGCGCGTCCTGCAGCTTAATTTTCCAGTACAAGTCACGATATGATGTTAAGTTGCCGAGATACACGATGGCTTGTTAGGTTATAATGTTTATATGTCATATATTTTTTCATATACTTTAAAAGAATCTAAGGCTTGTTATATTCAAAAGTGCCAACGTTATGCTTCAGAGAGCGTGCGCGCGCGTCATGATTAATGCGCTGCTTTATTTTATCACACGAATGCTCAGGTGATGCTTTTGTGAAATGTTGTGCATTTCTATAAGACTTCATAGTTTTAGAGCGCGCGCATCCTGCTGTTTCATTTTCCCGCACGTCCTGTGTTTAGAATTTACCAAGTGCCAATAAATGAATGCAGCATTGAGCTTCTTGTAGACTAAACAATACATCGCTACAAATACATTTACAAATAAACTTAATAAACTTTTCATTTTCAAATGCTGAGTCAGGCGGAAATTGTCACCTCATCAGTTTACCGTATATGGAAAATATGATTTACAGTCATTGGGACGGATGAAGCAGAAACTTTCATTCTACAGTAAATGGAACGAAACCATAGCATAGTAAAGTGCATGGATTAATGTGAGCATATGCATATAAAATGGCATACAAGTTCATGTTTGGATTTCACAAACCATATGCAAAATATATTTCAAAACATTGCACAAATGTCCATTTACACATATTTATTTAACCATTAAAAATACACAGTTTATTAAAGATAATGCAGGTAAGCACATCATGCATTTTTAAATATAAGGCTTGAAAAAATAGATAAAAAGGTAAAATAAAAACAAAATAAAGGCTTGTAAAAAAAAAAACAGGTCAGGTCAGGTCAACCAAAACATCTTGATGATCAAGACTTTTGGGGAAAAATTGTTGAGACTGAAGTGTAACTTTCGGAAGGCGTGTTTCTTATTATGTGTGGTGTAACACCAAATTTCAGAAATAGAACATCATACCAACAGTAAAATGTGGTGGTGGTTGTGTGACGGTCTGCAGCTGTATAGTTGCTTTAGGACCTGGACAACTTGCTGTGATAAATGGAGCCATGAATTCTGCTGTTTACCAAAATATCCTGAAGGAGAATGTCCGGCAATCTGTTAGTGACCTCGAGCTGAAGCGAACTTGGGTTCTGCAGCATGACCAGGGTTGGGCCAAAATACATTGAAATGTATTTTAAAACAAAATACCAAATAGCTTAAATTTAAATGTATCAAAATGAAGAACAAAATACAACAGCCACAACATGTATCAAAATAAAATACTGTATTTTGCATTTAAAAAATACTACAGAATAGCATGACATATCAGAATGGGGCATATGTGTGAATGGTTCTCAAAAGATGAGCGACTGGATTATTGGAATTATGGGAATTTTAGATGGCTGGACTGGTAGAGGTAAATAGAGTTCAGGAGGATTCAGGTGGATTTTCATACACTTGAGGTATTATCGGTGTCAAAATGAAAAGAATTGACTTTGAATGAATGATTTTCATGTGACTTAAAGGTTCATTTATAGGTTATATTCCATGAAGTGCGCTAGTGATGCAAATATGTGCTATATCAGTTTTATGTTCATATTATTTTTTGTTCACAGAATTTTTCATAAATCTTGTATTTTGAAACTAAACTCTTCAATACTCAATGTGAAAACATGATTTCTGATGAAAACATGATTTATGTTCTTACAAGTAAACTCTTTATATATAAACTGCTCCTGCTGTATAATCTGTCGGGAATTTTTGATTATTAAATATTTGTCTTTCATATGTTGTGTCATCTTAAGGCATACTTCTTTCCTATTTGTTAACTATAGTATTGCAAGTATAGTATTGTAGAAATTGCCCATGTAGAACAGCAGTGCTTCCGGAAAGTATTCAAAGCGCTTCACTTTTTCCACATTTTTTTATGTTACAGCTTTTTTTCCAAAATGGATCAAATTAATTTACTTCCTCACAATTCTACATAAAATTCCCCATAATGACAATATGGATAAAGCTGTTGTGAAATTGTTGCAAATTTATTACAAATAAAAAACCCTGAAAAATCATGTGTACATAAGTATTTACAGCCTTTGTTGTGAAGATCTAAATTGAGCTTAGGTACATTCAGGTACATTCCACAGATCATTCCTGAGATGTTTTAGCAGCTTAATTGGAGTTCACCTGTGGTAGATTCAGTTGATTGGACATGATTTGAAAAGGCATACACCTGTCTATATAAGGTACCAGGGTTGACAGTGCGTATCAAAGCACAAACCAAGCATGAGGACAAAGGAATTGTCTGTAGACCTCCGAGACAGGATTGTCTCGAGGCACAAGGCTGGGGAAGGTTACAGAAACATTTTTGCTGCTCTGAAAGTTCCAATGAGCACAGCGGCCTCTATTATCTGTAAGTGAAAGATGTTTGGAACCACCAGGACTCCTCCTAGAGCTGGCCGGTCATCTAAGCTGAGTAGTCGGAGAAGAAGGCCTATAGTGAGGGAGGTGTTCAATAACTCGATGGTCACTCTGTCTGAGCTCCAGCGTTCGTCTGTGGAGAGAGGAGAACCTTACAGAAGGACAACCATCTGTGCAGGAATCCACCAATCAGGCCTGTGTGGTAGAGTGGCCAGTTAGAAGCAACTCACCACCTTGAATTTGCCAAAAGGCATCTGGAGGACTTTCAGACCATAAAAAAACAAAATTCTCTGGTCTAATGAAATTAATATTAAACTCTTTAGAGTGCCAGGGGTTAAATTTGGAGAAAACCAAGCACCATTTATCACCAGGCTAGTAGCATCCCTACAGTGAAGCATGGTGGTGTCAGCATCATACTGTGGGGATGTTTTTCAGCAGCAAGAACTGGAAGACTAGTCAGGATAGAGGGAAAGATGAATGCAGCAATGTACAGCAATGTACAGAGACATCCTTAATGAAAACCTGCTTCAGAGTGCTCTTGACCTCAGACTGGGGCGACGATTCATCTTCCAGAAGGACAAAAACCCACCAAAATATCAATGGAGTGGCTTCACAATAACTCTGTGAATGACCTTGAGTGGCCCAGCCAGAGCCCAGAACTAAATCTTATTGAACATCTCTGGAGAGATCTGAAAATGGCTGTACACCGTCACTTCCCATCCAACCTGATAGTGCTTGAGAGGTACTGCAAAGATGAATGGGCAGAAATTCTCAAAGACAGGTGAGCCAAGCTTGTGGCATCATATTGAAAAAGACTTGAGGCTGTAATTGCTGCCAAAGGAGCATCAGCAAAGTATTGAGCAAAGGCTGTGAATACTTATGTACATGTGATTTTTTATTTTTAATACATTTGCAACAGTTTCAAACATTTCCACATTGTCATTATGGGGTATTGTTGTGTAGAAAGTTGAGGAAATAAATGAATTTAATCCATTTTGTAATAAGGCTGTAACATAATAAAAGTGGAAAAAAGTGAAGTGCTATGAATACTTTCCGGATGCACTGTATGTAGGACTTAGTTTGTTTAAGTGACAAATATTTGGCATCAGCAATCCATCCAAAACTACTAAAACTTGTACAGAATACTCTTTCTTCCATGATTTGTTTTCATTTCTTCTTTAAATGGAAGAGTTAATAACATCCAAAGCACCAATCAGAGGGTGCTTTTTTTATTATGGCATCATGCAGACCAGGGGTTCTCAAACTCGGTTCTGGAGGTCTGGTGTCCTGCAGGTTTTAGCTCCAACTTGCCTCAACACACCTGCAAGGATGTTTCTAGAATAAGAGCTTGATTAGCTAGCCCATGTGCGTCTGACAGGGGTTAAAGCTAAAGTCTGCAGGACACCAGACCTCTAGGACCGAGATTGAGAACCCCTGATATAGACTTTCAAAGTTTTTTACAGTACTTTAAAAATACAAAAATACAAGACTCTTAAGTATTTTGATACAAAATATTAAGCCATTTTCATCAACCTTGTCACATACAAATTGCAAAATACTGTTTTGTATTTAAAAAATATTTAAAATACATGTAACATAAATACTCCCCATCTCTGAGCATGGCAATTATCCAAAGCACAGCAGCAACCTATGAATTGCTGAAAAAACAAAACAAAATGAAGACTTTGGAGTGGCCTAGTCAAAGTCCTGACCCGAATCCAATTGAGATCTCTTGCTTTGAAAACCCTTAAATGTGACTGAATTACAATTGCAAGTTGTTTAAAACACTTGATTGCAGTTGTTACTGCTAAGTGTAGCCCAAACAGTTATTAGATACAGGGGTTAAACACTTTTTCACACAGGGCTATAAAGTTTTGTATATTATTTTCCCTTAATAGTCAAAAGCTTCATTTCAAAACTGCATGATGTGTGTACTTGTGTTATCTTTGACTAATATTTAAATTAGTTTGACGGTCTGAAACATTAAAGTGTGACAAACATGAAAAAACAAGAAGTAACACTTTTTCACACCACTGTGTGTTTTCATATTCACCAATTTATCATGTTTCAATATGGGGTTGTTGCCATTGTAATGCAACAATTGTAGTAATGATATAACCAAATACTGTGGTAATTTTTCTAAATCATCTAAATCATACTACAATACACCACAATACTGTAATAGAAACAAACATATATTACAGCATTTTTATAGGTTTGCAATACAGTATGTAATATATATTGCAAATGACTATATTTTTCCATGTGGGAAGACGCTATGCTGAATTGATTTCTGTTGAACATGTAAAAAAGCATGACTCTGCACTGTACGAGCTGTAAACTGCATCTGCATTTTATCACTTCACCATCTCAGTTTGCAAGAGGAAATAAACCCAAAGTAGAATATGAGTGTGTGGGCCTAATGAAGAGGTGGGGGACTGCAGAATACACTCCTTATCAAACCACAGATCTCGTCTGAAAGCATTTAAAGATGCTTTGCAGTCTCCGACTGTCTCAGACATCAACAGTCATCTACAGTTATCTCACTTTTACATCTGCAAGAGATCACAAATCATGAGGGCTTCATCTGTGTTTCTGCTGCTTGGACTGACGGTCCTTATGGCCTGGACCTCTGAGGCTCAGCGTAAGTCACTGTATTACTGTTGTTATCTGCATTATTATTTGCAAAAAAACTGATGACTCAGTATTTTTTTTTTAAATCATGTTTGTTTGTTTTTTGCAAGTGAACTTTTTAAGATGCATTAAAAATTATAAGTTATAATAGAAAGTATTTTTACTGTTTTTGCAGATGAACGTTCATATTTTTAAAATGGAAACAGACCAAATTTAGTTGCTGATTTTTGGTGTAAAAAATGTTAAAAACAAAAGACTTTTACAGTCAAATCTTGCAGAATATTTACACGTTACTTAAATTAGGAATAAATTAAAATGGTGCTTGTAAAAAAGTCTGCAAAAATATGCATTTTGCTTCATAAAAAAATTCACTGAATCGTACTGAACTTTCGGATGTTCAATTCCTCCGGTTTAACTGTATTTATTAGCTGTCGGTTAATATTACATAAAGGATAAAATACAATAAAATTGACATTAGTTCATGAAAAAAAAGAATATAATTATTGTTAATTTGATCATTTTGTTTATCTTATTACATATGTAGAGTTGAAGTCAGAGTTATTAGACCCCCTGAGTTATTACACCCCCTGTTTATTTTTTGCCCCAATTTCTGTAATACGAAGAGAAAAAACATTCAGCACATTTCTAAACATAATAGTTTCTACAACTGATGTCTAAACTGATTTATTTTATCTTTGTCATGATGACAGTAAATAATATTTGACTAGATATTTTCAAGACACTTCTATGCAGCCTAAAGTGACATTTAAAAGTTTAACTAGGTTAATTAGGTTAACTAGGCAGGTTAGGGTAATTAGGCAAGTTATTGTATAACGATGGTTTGTTTTGTAGACTATTGATAAAAAAAAATTCTTAAAGGGGCTAATAATTTTGTCCTTAAAATGGTGTTTAAAAAATTAAAAGCTAAAAAATAAAAACAAATAAGTCTTTCTCCAGTAAAAAAAAAAAAAAAAAAAAAAAAATTTATATATATATATATATATATATATATATATATATATATATATATATATATATATATATGTATATATATATATATATATATATATATATATATATATCAGATATTTCTAATAATAATAATATTTAATATTATTATGTATTTATGTAATATAATACATATCATTTATTTAATAATATAATAATGTATTTATGTATAAATATAAACTTATATAAACAAATTGACATAAAAATATATTGAAAAACCCTAATATTTTATACATAAATTTATTATGACCATTAAAGTGATGAAATAATAAATATGAAGAAATATTTGTAAATATATATAAAAAAGTGTATATATATATAATTTGGTCACATTGCATTTTAAAAGTGTATTTTTATTACCAACTATGCAGTTGATTCAAATTAGACATTATATAATATAATAAAACATTATTACATTCAATCAATATTAAAAGGTATTATATTTTCTAACCAACAGCTGCAATTCCCGAACCCTGTTGCTTCAATTTCATTGACTTTCCAATCCCAGCCAACAAAGTAGTGAGTGCCGTGAGAACAGTTTCACGCTGTGCTGTTAAAGGCATTGTGTAAGTGTTTCACTGAAAATAATAATTTTTTGTTCTTTTAAAAAAAAAGGTTTATAAATATATAAATATGATTTTGTGTATGCTTTTTCATGAACAAAGTTTGCACTTTCCCCCTCAGGGTTACGACACCTAGAACCCAGTTTTGTGTGAAACCAGATGAAGACTGGATAAAGCCCATAATGGAAAAACAGCAATAAAAACCACAACACAATAATGTGCATATATAATACTGTTTCTGCTTAATGCAACTGTCCTTTATTATTTCTTCTCATTTTTCTTATCTTATTTTTTCAAGTATTTGTTCCTTAATATAACAGAGTTTTTTTCATTTTGTGCTCAATACGTGCAAATAAACAATAAAAAGATTATACCTGATGTCATTTGAATGTGTGCATATTAATATTAATAGTACAGTCTTAATCAATCAGACTTATCAGTGTAACTTACTAATTTATAAAGCAGAAATAAGTGTACAGTCAGAAATGTAAGATCAGAGATATTCAACGTGTGCTTCTAGGTCAAGGGTACTGATTTTGATATTTTAGTTGAATAAGGTTTCATGGCTTAACTAACATGAACAACACTTGTACAGGATTTATTATTAATGATAGTTAAACATTTACTAATGCATCATTAAAATCAAAAGTCATTAACATTAGGTGCATTGTGATCGTGATGTGTGAATGAGAGTTAACATGAACTAACAATGAACAACTTTATTTCCATTAATTAACTTAAACAAAGAATAAATACTGTAATAAATCTACTGTTCATGTTAGTAAATGTTTTAACATGAATACAAGCATATTTAAAATTATTACTGATGATTCTTTCAGCTGTGAACAATGTTTCTGGAAAATACAGATGCATTTTAATTATTAGTCATGGCCCACTTTATGTGAAAAGAAATTTGTCCATAGTGCTCCATCTTGAAATATTTATTAGCATAAACCCAGAAAATAACACATTATTCAATGATAAATTAGTGGTGGCCTACTTTACCTGAAAAAAAATGTGTCTGTAATGCTCCATCAAGTAACACATTATGTAAACTATATTCAAATATTACAGCTACGCCTAAAAGTTACCAAAGTAGCAAACAGAAATAAGTATCTAAATTACCTATTTTTACAAAAATGTGTCCACTTTTCCTGAATTCACCCCATGTTAAATCTGAACCAGGCCCTGATCTAAAATCAACCACAAACAAACAAGTATCAAATATTAGAAATTAATTTAGAGATATCTTCTTTGCACTAAATCAGCCAGAAGATTTGTGTGGGGTTTAATGTGCTGGCAAACTTTTAGTGAGTGTCGATGAATATCGGTGTTTATCAAACCTCAAGTCTGAGTTTCTGTGTAACCTCATGCTAGAACAGTTAAAACAGAAAGCCAAATGTGACTTCAGTTCATATAGAGTTCTGCAAAAACTGACAAACCTTGAGGACCTTCTAAAGGAAATGTGAATTGGGTTTGTGTGGCAAATCGATGGGTTAAAATGCATCCCCGTACTGGTCAAGAGCAACAACATGCTAATCGAGTTGCTAGCATCATGCTAACATAATTATTTTCTGATCATGGCTTGGACTTCCGAGGGTCAAAGTAAGTACTATAATAACAAGCTATTATTAAACTATTCTACAAGCAAAATAGATGCCTACTTAAATATTTTAAAATTAATAAGTAAAGGTTTTTTACCTACAAGGAGTGAGTAAGCTCTCTAATATCGGCCCAATAGAGTAACATTAATCTATTTTGCCCACAAGATCTGTTGTGGATAAAGGCTAAATTATAATCAAACTTGACAACCGAGACAAATATAGACGTTTTGCGTTGTATTTTTTAGCTACAATGTCAAATAAAACAAAGCCAGGAATTAATATAAACCTCTGCATAAACAGATGACAGTTGAGCTGAGTGGTTTGACACAATTCAGCAATCTACACATGTTTGTTGAATAATATGCAATAAACTATGTATCATATTTCTGATAAATAAGATAAATAAAAAACCAAAGATACTATTAAACATACCTTATTCCTCTTCGCGGTGGAGCTGAAAAAATGTATAATCTGTAAATCCTGCATTTTGCATCCTGACACGAGTTTGAACATGTCTCAGTCATTCCTCAGTATTGCATAGTAAATGATCTTAGCCTATCGTTTTCAAAATAAAAGTCCTATATATTCAAGTTAAACTTAAACTTTAATAATAAGGGAGGAAAATGATCTTTGTTTTTTCAAAACAGTGTGGCTTGTCAATTACAGCCTGAAGTGTGCATATTAACGATCCCAGAGCAATATCTCAATCTGTGTTTTGGCTGCTAATCTGGTCTGGTTTATGTATAACCCCAGAAAACATTTGGATGTCTGATTACTGTTGTAAAGAAGTCCCTCCTTCACATCCTGTTATGGTTGAAAAATAGTTCCAAAAAAAAATCCAATCGACTTATTGCACGTCATTTGGCCGTGAATCACATGTCTTTTCTGCACGGTTCGTGCACGTCTAAACATATCATTTGTATGTTAATATGTGTCTCTGATTAATCCAGGCCTAAACATGTATATAAAACAGCCTAGTTCATACCTTTATAATAGGCAGTTAGTTAAGGTTCTTAAAACAAGGGTGGGGGAGGGGGTTTGGATGGTTTGAAAGACTCACCGCTCACTGACAAGCGTCCAGAATTTGTCCCATACATGAGCTCATTTGTCCTATTTTGACCACTATGCCATCATAGATAGTGAAAATAACCCATTAATAAAGGTTTTAAAGTCCCCGTGAACTGGAAGCTGAGATCTGTTTTTCTTTTCTAATGTAATGCCGTTCCTAAAGAAAATACATTTTAAATGAGCAAACAGTGGGCGTGGCTTGTTTTTTCTACCGAGGGCTGATTGGATGTTGTAAAGTAGGCATTCAGAAAGATTGGTTAATGGGTTTTAGAAGAGTAAAGCTGCGGTCACACTAGAGTTTGAAAATGTAAAATTCTGTCATGCGGTGCTGCGAAAAGGGGCAGGATTAAACAAGATAATTAGACATTAAAAAAAGCAAGCGATTGCTCTGTTTTAAACTTTTGTCCAGAGAGGTCATGTTTAAATCCTCGATTGGGCTCAAGCAGACAAGTTATGCGATTTTGCAGGTCAGAGTTCACCAAGCTTGAACTTTGCACTGCATCGACCTGCGAAACTTGACGCATGACCGCGTTTCCGGTTTGACGCATTTGAGTGCATGTAAATGGAAGTCAACAGGGAGAAAAGTCCAGTGTGACAGCAGCTTTATTATAACCTATACAGACACCTCCTCCTCACCATTTCTGCCTGTTGTCAAAACTGACAGTTGCAGGAGCGTAAGCCACGCCCATTACCTCAAAACCACTTAATCTGATAAATTAACTGAAAATAAACAGGAAGTTCATTTTCAGATTTCAATTAAAGATTAGAAGAGCCAACTATTTTTCTCTTAAAGATACACAGATGATTTGTTCACCGCAATGTGAGCTAACAAAATCATTTGATTAGTTTGATTTCTTGGGGACTATAAGACCAAGTGGAATCCTGTTTTGACTGTTGCTTCTTTGTGACTGAGGAAAGATGAATGTGCTGGCCAGTTTGTTATTTGCCTAATAAATGGTAATTGCCTAGTTTTTTTTTCTTTTTTACTTAAATAACCAATAAAACATGCAAATAAAAAAGTTTACATATAAAACCTAAGCATTAAAATACTAAAACTCTATACTTATACAATAGCAAAAAAGCAACCTTGCCTGTCCTCCTCTGCCTGTAAAGTAGGTAAATGTTAGGTAAATGTTATTTTAAAAAAGAGGTTACTTCTTCTTGTGCTTTTTGGTGGACTGGCAAACCAAAAGGTAAATTTCCACCACCTAGTGGTCTGGAGTGAAATACTCTGGCGCTCTCACACGATCATAATGAGACTTGTACAAGATCTTGACAGCACAGTTTTGATCTACATCCAACTCAGACTTAAAGTGGAGCCTGAAGAAATTAATATTTTCTATGTATATATGCTTTAATAATAATAATAATAATAATAATAATAATAATAATAATAATAATCGTATACAAAAAATAAAGTTCCTGATTATTACTATTATTTGGTGGCCTATTCACAAATCACGCAGGGCATTTCCAAGTGTAAGTACACTACCTGACAAAAGTGTTGTTGCCTATCCAAGTTTTAGGAACAACAAATAATAAGTTGACTTCTAGTTGATCATTTGGTATCAGAAGTTTCTAATATGAAAGGCAAAGGCCTCAAGATTACGCTTATTTTACCAAAATAAGTATGATTATGACTTGATTTGTAATTATTTAAATTATTATTTATTATTAATTTAATTAAATTATAACAAATAAGACTTTCTTCAGAAGAACAAACATTATCAGACATACTGTGAAAATTTGATTGCTCTGTTAAACATCAGTTGGGAAATAAAAAAAAATAAAAATAAAAAAAACGGAAAACAATTCAAAGTGGGGCTAATAAATCTGACTTCAAATTTAAATTGAAATACTACAGCTCGACCTAAAATTTTAAAAAAGTTATAACAGGATAAATAAGTGATGGCCTACTTTACCTGAAAATAAGTTTGTCCGTACTGCTCGATCTTTAAATGTTTATAGGTATAAACCATACAAATAACACATTATTTATTTAAAAATTAGTGATGGCTCACTTTACCTAAAAAAAAATTGTCTGTAGGGCTCGATCGTAAAATGTTTTTCTAGGTATAAACCATTCAAATAGCACTTTATATAATGATAAATTAATAACGGCACACTTTACCTGAATAGAAATTTGTCTGTTGTGCTAAATCTTAGGTATAAACTGCAAATAACACTTTAAAAAAAAAAAAAATTAATGGTGGCCCTTTTTACCTGAAGAGAAATTTGTCTGTGGTGCTCGATCTTAAAATCTTTATAGGTAACCATTCAAATAGCACGTTATTTAATGATAAATTAGTGATGGCTCTCTTTACCTGAATAGAAATGTGTTTGTTGTGCTCCATCTTAAAATGTTTATAGGTATAAACTGCAAATACCACATTTTATTTTGATAATTTAGTGATGGCCCACTTTACCTGAAGAGAAATTTGTCTGTAGAGCTCAATCTTAAAATGTTTGTTGGTTTAAACCCTGCAAAAGAACACATTATATAAACTATATTCAAATTGAAATACTCCAGCTCGACCTAAAATTTTACAAAATAACAGAAATACATCTAGGCTGACACATCTTTTAAAAAGTCACCCACTTTACCTGAAGTCACCCTATCTTAAATCCGACCACCAAGCCCTGATCTAGAATCAGCCTTAGTTACAAACAAACATATCTTAAATATTAGCAACTTTTGCACTAAATCAGCCAGAAGATTTGTGTGGGATTTAATGTGCTGGCAAACTTTTAGTGAGCATCAACGAATATCAGTATTTATCAAATCTCAGGTCTGAGTTTCTGTGTAACCTCATGCTAGAACAGTTAAAACAGAAAGCCAAATGTGACTTCAGTTCATACAGAGTTCTGCAAAAACTGACAAACTTTGAGGACGGTGTGTTTATTTCTAAGGTTCAAAGTACTAAATAGTTTATTTATAAAAGTTCACACATTTCTTTGTTTTGTTTCAGATAATCCCCATTTTCCTCATTCCCCAACAGCTCAATTTTCTCCGGGCTCAAAAAGGTATGGTTTTAATATTATAGATTTCCACATTCTACACTACATCATTTTTACAGTGATTAAACAAACATGTTAAATACATTTTTGTAGGGGTTTAACAACTTTGAGCACTTTTTGTGTGAAAACAGACGTGGCTTGGAAAAACAACAAAACGTAGAAGGTCAATGAAATTGAAGCACACATTTTACATCTTTCTTTCTAACTAATTTTGTTTTTAATCTGCCTGCTCATTAATAGAGATAACATGACTGAATCAGCAACCCTCCCCTCATCAACCACACCAGCCTTATCTGTGAGCCAGAAAATGAGCAGTCCGCCCTGCCCATGGATGTCCACCACAACTACCCTTGCCCCTGCCACCACCGCCATCACCACGAGAGCCAAAACCACCACCTTGCCAAAACCTAAACGACAAATTGACAGAAGTTCCATTCCTGGCCGTAAGTTCTGCTGTCATATAATTATAGTTAAGAAAATTGAGCCTGATCTCACAGATGGATGAAAATGACAGATGGATGGATGTAAATGCGGAATGGATGTAAATGACAGATAAATGTAAATGATGAATGGATGGATGGATTTAAATAAGGAATAGATGAATGTAAATGACTGGATGTAAATGATGGATGGATGGATGGATGGATGGATGTACATGACAGGATGTAAATGACAGATAAATTTAAATGATCAATGGATGGATGGATATAAATAAGGGATGGATGAATGTAAATGACAGGATGGAAATGACCAATGGATGGATGGATGAAAAAGACAGATGGATGGATGTAAATGTTGGATGGATGGATGAAAAAGACAGATGGACGGATGAATGGACAAGATGCATAGATGAAAATTCCAGCCTGATCTCACATGGAAACGTAAATATTTTACAATTTGTCAGTTTATTGGCTAATTACAAATTTAGTCATATAAAAAAAAAATGTACGATTTTTAAAAAAGGTGTGACAACAACCCCCACTCCTGAACCCTACCTTCATTGTGGGACAAACTGTACAGCGTAAAATGTACAAATGAGACTGTGCGATTTAGACACTAAATAACAAAAAGTTATGAATTGCAGTGAGATAGCGTTGGATTAATGGACAATGGATGGATGGATGAATGTAAATGACAGATGGATGGAGAAAAATGACTAATGGAGGAAATTGAAGGTTGGATCGATAAAAATGATGGATTAGATTGATGGAAATGACGGATAGATGGACATGACAGATGTATGGATGGATGGATGGGAGGGAATGAATGGATAATATATTAAACAAATCTAAATATATACAAATTTATTGCAAAAAAATTAATTTATTGCAAAAAAATATTTTATTACACTATATTACACATTAATAAATGACACTGTATTATGTCACCAACAGCTGCAGCAGTTCCTATAACCTGTTGCTTTGCCTTCATTGACTTTCCAATACCATACAACAAAATTGTAAGTGCTTTGAGGACAAGTCCCCGCTGTGCTACTAAAGCCATTGTGTAAGTATTTCACTCAACAAGATGTATGTTGAGAACTTGTTTTAAAGATGGCATTGTGTAAGTGTTTCCCTAAAAACAAAAAACATTCTTTTAATTTTATTCTTTAAAATGGCAAATTTTTAAAATAGTTTGTGTATGATTTTCATGAACAAAGTCTGCACTTTCCCCCCTCAGGGTTACGACTCCTAGAACCCAGTTTTGTGTGAAACCAAATGAAGTATGAATAAACATTGTAATGGAAAAACAGCTTCAGAAATGAAACCGCAACACAATACTGTGCACAATATAATACTGTTACTGCTTAATGCAACTGTCCTCTTATTTCTTCAAAATGTATTTTTTCAAATTCTCCTAAACTTTACAGAGTGTTTTGATTTTGTGCTCAATTAATGCAAATAAACAAAAAAACATGTACAGATTATGTCATTTAAATGTGTTCATATTAATATAGTATAGTGCAGTAATCAGACTTATCAGTGTGGTTTATTATTTTATAAAGCAGAAATAAGAGTAAGAAATGTAATATCAGACAGATTCAACGTGCAGCTTCTAGGTAAAGGGGACTGTTTTTGATATTTTAGTTGAATAAGGCTTTATGTATTTACTAACATGAACGATACTTGTACAGGATTTATTATTAATCATAGTTCAACATTTACTAATGCATCATTAAAATACAAAATTCATTAACATTAATTGCATTGTGATCGCGATGTGTGAATGTAAGTTAACATGAACTAACAATGAACAACTTTATTTCCATTAATTAACAAAGAATAAATGTAATAAATGTACTGTTCATGTCATGTTCATGTATTAACATTATACAACCATATTACATTTTTTTAATGATGAGTCTTTTGGCTGTGAACAGTGTTTCTGGAAAATACAGACCCACATGACATGAAAAGAAAAAAAAAAAAAGTCTGTAGAGCTCCCTCTTGAAATGTTTATTGCTATAAATCCAGTAAATAACACATTCTTTGATGGTAAATTAATGGTGGCCCACTTTACCTGATAAGAAATTTGTCTGTAGAGCATGATCTTGAAATGTTATTGGCATAAACCCCGAAAACAGCACATTATTTAATGATAAATTAGTGATGACACTTTACCTCAAAAAGAAATGTCCATAGTGCTCTGCCTTTAAATGTTAATTGGTATAAACCCTGCAAATGCCACGTAATTTAATAAGAAATTAGTGACGGCCTACTTTACCTGAAAATAAATGTGTCTGTAGTGTTTATTCTTTAAATGCTTATTGATATAAACCCTGCAAATAGCACATTATTTAAACATAAATTAGTGTTGGCCCACTTTATCTTAATGAAGAAATTTGTCTGTACTGCTCAATCTTGAAATGTTTATTGGTACCTGCAAATAACACCGTACTTAATGATAAATAGTAGTGTTCCACTCTATCAAAAAAAAAAAAAATAGAAATTTGTCTGTTCTGCTTGATCGTGAAAGGTTTATTGGTATAAAACCTGTAAATAGCACATTATTTAATGATAAATTAGTGACGGGCTACTTTACCTGAAAGTAAATTTGTACTGCTCAATCTTGAAATATTTATGGGTATAAACCCTGCAAATAACACATTATTAAATAATAAATTAGTGTCAGCCTACTTTACCTGAAAAATTGTCTGTACTGTTTGATCTTGAAATGTTTATTGATATAAACCTACAAATAACAAACTATTTAATGAAATTAAAAGAAAAGAAGTTGTGGGAAAAAAAACAATAAAAAAACAATATTTTAAATATTTTAAACTGAAATCTGTTCAAATTTCCTTGACTTTCAAATCCCAGTCAACAAAATATTGAGTGCCGTGAAAAAAAGTTCAAATTGCGCTTTAAATGGCATCATGTGAGTATTTCCCCTAAAAGATATACATATGCTGAGACCTTGTCATAAGCTTCTTTTAAAAGGTAGAACTACAATATAAAAGAATTTGAGCATACATCATTCCTAAAGTTCCCCTCAAGGTTAAAACCCCTAAAACTCAATTTTGTGTGAAACCAGATAAAGACTGGATAAGGCCCATAATGGAGAGAAAACTCCAGAAATGAAAACGCAGCACAAATATAAAAGTCACTGCTTTAAACAAATGTATTTTCTTATTACATTTTTTTTCTCCCTATATTCTCACAAACAACTCAAATGTTAAAATCTAATTTCACAGTCAAAGCTAAAATAAATTCAAATGCACAAAGATAATCTAGTGTCTGTCTCGAATCTCTCAATGTGGTTTCATAAACACTGATAAGAACAGACAACGCAACCATTATCAGCATTTCATGTTTAATAATGTACAGTTAGACAGAAAGAATAACAGATGAAGATAACGTGAAGGAAACAAAAGAAACTTCGGAATTCAAAAACCGTATACATATACAAAAAAAGCATAATAATAACAATAAAACAAACATGTCTAGAGTCATGTTCAAGTCTGCTATTTAAAAAAAGTAGAGTGGTTTAACAAAAAAATCCTTTTTATTCAGAATCTAAAATCCCTCTGTGTGGTTTGACCATCCACGACAGGAAGAACTGAGTGTTCAAACTTGCATAAAGACACACCAGCAAATTATATCATATTATACCATCACATGAGGCGTAAAGGCTGTTTATTGCCCTTTAGATTGAGAGTTTTGTGCACGAGTTTCAATCTAAACCATCCATAAAAAAAATAAAGGAGCGCTTCTCATTTACACCTGCAAAGTAAAACCAGTTGGGGTATGGCTAAAATTAACATCTGTTCATATACATACTGAAGTCCTGATCCTGGACCAGCCCTAAAACGTATATTAAGTCGAAACAAACTGGTCTCGGATCAGTTTAGGAACAGATTGAGGAACATCGGTTCACAATTTTTAAAGTAATAATAAAAACATGAGCAGACAAATGCCGAAACAGTCCGCAAATTTAAGGCAGAGTGTTCGAGCAACATCCTAAAATATTATCGTAATTATTTCATACTCATCCGTATTAATACAAATAAAAAAAATCCACTATTAATGTTGAAAATCATGCCGTTTTTATAGAACACCATCTATGGTAGGGACACAATTATCTACGTACACAGCCAGAGAATGGGTTTAAAAAACATGGAAAACTGTTATTGTTATAATTTAGCTGTGCAATATTGTTAAAACGGATGTTTATGACCCCAAGGAAACACACACAGTCCGTAAATACATCACTCGGTAGCTTTGCTCGTCAATGCATACGTGCCTAACCATGTACATGCTCGCTTTCACTTTCTTATTCTCCCTCACACACACATCCAAACCTACCGTGACTCCTTCAAACATCCAGAAACAGTCATAAATTATTACAAATACTATGTTTTGATGGAGTGTTGGTCAATATGCTCATACGGGGAATGTGCTGTAATATTATGGTAAACCAGAAGAGGGCGATGAAGTTGTGTGGTTGTGACTGTAAAGGTTTTATTATATTTAAACTGTACAGTAGCACTCGTGCATGCGTTTCTTCTGGGGTCATAAAACATCTGAGCATCAAAACAGATGCAAGGAGTTTGTGGTTTTAAGAGGAATGGAACTTTATGACGACTTTAAAAGATTTTTCCTTTTTTCTTGTTCTTTTCCATTGTCCTGAAAAGAAAGACAGAGAAAAACAAGAATATTAGGAAGAGATTAGAAACCATTTTAAGGAAATATGACATGAATGTTTAGTTATAGTAGTTAATGTTGTAGTTTATGAATAAATTAATGTTTTAATTTAAGAAATTTAATAAAAAAATGAATATATATATATATATATATATATATATATATATATAATTATATAATTACTTAAAATCATATTTATTTTTTTATATTTATAAATGCATACAAATGTTTATTTATAAATATAATAAATAAATATGATTGCAAGTAATTATATGATTAAGTATATTATTAATAATAATATATACAATGATTTAAAAAAATAATAAATAAATAATGATTTTAAAAAGTAATTAATTATGATATAATTATTACATCTTTTTAATTACACTAGATATTACAAGAAATCAATACTTATAATCAGCAATGTCACATTAAATTGAACAAAGTGACATTTTTCACATTTAAAAAATATTTTTAAATGTTTTTATTCATTAAATACTCAGATTTTTGAAAAAAAAAATCTGTTTAAAAACCTATTAACGAGTAGATCTGCTTTCAAAATGAATATTAAGAAAAGCAATTTGAGCTCAAATCTAACTTCTAAAATGTTTTTGTAATGTTTGACAGAATGTACACTCACTGGCCACTTTATTAGGTACACCTAACTAGTACTACGTTGGACCCCCTTTTGCCTTCAGAACTGCCGTAATCCTTCGTTGCAAAGATTCATCAAGTTACTGGAACTATTCCTCAGAGATTCTGGTCCATTTTAACACGATAGCTTTACACAGTTGCAGCAGATTTGTCGGCTGCACATCCATGATGTGAATCTCCCGTTCCACCACATTCCAAAGCTGCTCTATTGGATTGAGATCTGGTGACTGTGGAGTACATTTGACTACAGTGAACTCATTGTCATGTTCAAGAAACCAGTCTGAAATGATTGGCACTTCATGACATAGGGCGTTATTCTGCTGGAAGTAGCCATAAGAAGATGAGTACACTGTGGTCATAACGGGATGAACATGGTCATCAACAATACTCAGGTAGGCTGTGGTGTTGAAACGAAGCTCAATTGGTACTAATGGGCCCAAAGGGTGCCAAAAAATGATCCCTTTTACCTTTACACCACCACTATCAGCCTAAACCGTTGATACAAGGCAAGCTGGATTCATGTTGTTGACGACAAATTCTGACCCTGTCATCTGAATGTCGCAGCAAAAAATCGAGACTCATCAGACCAGACAATGTTTTTTCAATCGTCTATTGTCCAATTTTGGTGAGCCTGTGCAAATTGTAGCCTCCGTTTACTGTTCTTCGCTGACAGGAGAGGCACCCGGTGTGGTCTTCTGCTGCTGTAGCACATCTGCCTCAAGGTTGGAGGTGTTGTGCGTTCAGAGATGCTCTCCTGCAAACCTCGATTGTAATGAGTGGTTATTTGAGTTACTGTTGCCCTTTTATTAGTTCGAACCAGTCTAGCCATTCTCCTCTGACCTCTGGCATTTGCACTCACAGAACTGCCGCTCACTGGATATTTTTTTTAGACCATTCTCTGTAAACCCTAGAGATGGATGTGCATGAAAATCCCAAAAGATCAGCAGTTTCTGAAATACTCAGACCAGCTCATCTGACATCAACAACCCTGCCCCTTTCAGAGTCACTTAAATCAACTT